AAAAATCAATTTTTCCATCGTTATAATGACTAAATAATGGGATTGATGAAGTGAATTGAATTAAAAAGTAATAAAATCGAAGGAAGTTAACTGGGTAGATTTAACTTTTCATTATTTTTCGGATTTACCTTTGGGTTAACGTTAATCTTTATTACGCGTACTAAACATTTACTCTCCCATCTGTAGTGAAAATATATTTGGAAATATAAAAAATTAATATTTGGAAAATGCAATTTTTGATTCTTTTATGTTTAATAGAGAAATCAATATTTTTCATCGTTATAATGACTAAATAATGGGATTGACGAAGTGAATTGAATTAAAAAGTAATAAAATCGAAGGAAGTTAACTGGGTAGATTTAAATTTTTATTATTTTTCGGATTTACCTTTGGGTTAACGTTAATTTTTATTACGCGCACTAAACATTTATTCTCCCATCTGGAGTTGAAATATATTTGAAAATATAAAAAATTAACATTTGGAAAATCCAATTTTTGATTCTTTTATGTTTAATTGAAAAATCAATTTTTCCATCGTTATAATGATTAAATAATGGGATTGATGAAGTGAATTGAATTATATTTAATTGAAATGATCGGATTAATTACTCTAATGGAAAGTACGGGAATTTCTGGAACTCTCATAAGGGAATTGCTCAATGCAGTTGTATTTCTTCTTTCAAGGATATTCTGCGGCTGCTGTATTCGGTGAATCTCCGGTTGGTCCCCACCCGAAAATTCCCCAAAAGCGTGTCGTATCGGCGCGTGGGGGGCTGTTTTGACTGCTGGGACTGACAAAGTGCTTGTCTCCTTCAAAGAGAAGTCAATTTTCGACCACTCTTGGGGTATACGAGTAACAATCCGCAGTCATTGTCCCCCAACCACTGGTTCTCTCGCACCGTGCAACTGCGCAATGTTGCGCAAATTATGACAGCAATACTCAGAACCTACTGACTACAATATCACTCCTCCCGCAGTAGTTAAACACCGTCTTTTCACCCACAAAAACGTAAAATATATCCTCATGAATTCGGTACAAAACCTCAGAAGTGAATTTGTTTTTTATTCAATTCGGAAAACTCATAATTCATTTCAGAGGGGATCCCATAAATTCTTAGTGACTTGTATCACGCGTCACGTTAAAGTAACTGCAGGAATATTATTTTTAATTTAAAAATTCTGTCTGTCGAGTCGAGAATTTCCGTAATCTTAATTCAAGGAAAAAATCTTGAATAATCGTCTAAATCCAAAAGTAAAATATACTTGATTCAAGAATTTCTGAGAGATATCCTCAAATGAAGAATATTTATTCTTCATACAAAATTTTGATCCACAAAATAGAAACACACTCGAACAGATCCCCAAATAATATCACCGATGAAATAATTACCAAGATCAAAACAAACACCTTAAGTTTGGCTTTTAATCCGCTGATCGTGCGGCCTGTGTCGGCCACAAAAGCACCGAAAATCTGGATAAGCGGGAGATAATCTTTGGTATAATGGCAAATCCTTTGAAATCCTCTGGTTTATGAACGTGTCAAAATATTGACACGCGCCCTGCATTTCTCAACCCTTTTAGGATTGTGCTCCGTTGGCCACGCTCCGCCTCATAGGGGCGGTCTCACAGCTTTATCTCCCACTACTTCGCTAGGAGAACACACGCAATTTTTTTATTTTCTTTTTTATTGCATCAGAATGACCGAATGGGTGCAGCACGAGTTGCTTTAGGTTTTGAGGAAAAAATTATGATGGAAAATTATTATGAAAAAATGATAATGATGGTATGTATGATAATTTATTATTATAATTCTCGTATTGTTGTTGTTTTTAATTTAATCATAATTACCCGTTGGAATACTTAGGGATCAATGAGGCAAAATTAACACTTTGACTTTTTTTTAATGTAGAAGAATTGTTTTCCGGGGGGATGAGCCTAAACTGATGAATTCAATTGATAAATTTGTTCCTGAGTAATGATGAACATTAGGAACAAATTGCAAGTGTCCATTTTACCCCACCCTCGCTTAACTGACTGTTTTCCTGTTTTTATTCTTTTTTTAGCTGTTATGTACACGATGAATAAGTGGACAATTACAATTTTTTTAATAACAGATGGGTCATTTTAATAATTTTGAATCATTCATTGATGTCGAAAAAATTGGAGTTTTGTTGGAGAATTATTTTGAAATTGATGATTCTATCTGTTCTCTTTCCATTATATTTAAAAATCCGAAGCTTTTCTGCACCTTTCGAAAATTATAAATATTCAATTTAAATATTTCACACAAACGATCAATAGTCTTTGATTTCCTTACACACAGTTGAGAATGTTTCAATAAAAAATCTTCCATTTAAATTCTCCAAGTTTTTTTTGCTTGAACTCCTCATCAAAGAAAAATGCACTAAAAGAAATTAGAAAACTTATGCTCAGCAATTTTCGCAAAAAAAATATCTCAATCGCATAAACATTGCATAGAAAACTGAACATATATCAATTATTTCTTATCAACTACTCCTATCAAAGAAAAAAAACCCACAAAAAATCGAATTCTTCAGCGGAATCCGCAAAAAATCACCCAAATTTCCTAGCAAATGCGCCAATCTCCCTATTAATTTTTCCAACATCCCCAGACCCCACAAAATGAACCCATCCATCAACTCCTCCATTTGTTTATATCCATAGACTCCACATTGTCCAAACTGATACCACTTCATTCCCCGACGTAAACGGTATCTCCATCGCATCAGAACAAAGCAAATTACGGATTTCAAAAAGTTTGCCGAGAGTCTCTCCCCTAATAGTTATAAATTATGATAATTCCCCCCTAATACACCCGATAAAACAATCTCCCAAGTTTTGTTACCATATAAATCATACGTCCGATGAACAATCCAACCCCGACCACCCTTTTCCCGAAAATTAGATTAAAAACTTTAACCTGACAACGATGACAATCGTTGATTATATATACAAAACATCCATCCCATATATCACCCAAAACACGTTTAATATTTATCCTCCAAATTTACCCCCAAATCCGTCAAACGACAAGTTGGTCTATCCGATTTGCACCATTAGTACCCCAACAACAAATCTCCTCGATTATACCTGTATCACCCAACCCCTCAATACCCCGCACCCCCGCCAGGATTTTACCTGAATAAATCCCCCGATATTCAAAAATCCGAGTGAATTCCTCGTTGAACACATCCAAACAAAAAAGAATAACGAAAAAAAGACCTCAAGCCTATCGTCGAAAGTGTAATCCCATCAATAAACCCAACTCATATAGATAAACAACGTATCCATTTACAATGCCCGATGTCAGGCCGAACAAACCACCAGTGCCCACATTTCCTTAATTGATAACTCTCCCGAGATCCACTAAATCAAAGAACAAACCTTCAAACAATTAAATACCCCCGACAAAACAGACCGATAACCTCTAAAATACACAGAAAAAATATATAATTATTTTCACTCTTTAAAGTAGCTCTCCCCTTACGGCAAATTCAAAGATTAGGGGAGAGTGGGGTAAAACGGACCCTTTTGATTTTTTCAAAAATGTTAGCAGTTCATTCAATTTTAAATAAAATGGAATAATTTTTTTTCATGTAAACTACACTTCTTCCCCTTTAGAATGAGCCTAGACTGATCTCAATTAATGAATTTGCTTCTGACTTATGAGTATCACAAAAAAAGTCAAAAGGGGCCGTTTTACCCCACTCTCCCTTATTGAAAACTGCAAAAAATTGCAGAAAACTCGATTAAATTCGGAATTCTAATTTTTTTCTCAATTTAATTATCGTTTTGGTTTTTCAAAGTAATGTTTAAAAATCAGGATTTAACCCAGTGTCTTATGTGAAAATCAACATTTCCATTGTAACCAAAAATTAAAATCTGATTTTTTTTGATTAGATGTGAAAAAATCAACAATTTTTTTGACACCTCATAAAAAATAATCCACCGTTTTGCAAACAAGTTTTATTATTTATTTATAAGAGGGAAATGTTTGAAAAAATATCACTCTCCCTTATTGAAAACTGCAAAAAATTGCAGAAAGCTCGATTAGATTCGGGATTCTAATTTTTTTCTCAATTTAATTATCGTTTTGGTTTTTCAAAGTAATGTTTAAAAATCAGGATTTAACCCAGTGTCTTATGTGAAAATCAACATTTCCATTGTAATCAAAGATTAAAATCTGATTTTTTTTCATTAGATGTGAAAAAATCGAGAATTTTTTTGACACCTCATAAAAAATAATCCACCGTTTTGCAAACAAGTTTGATTATTTATTTGTAATAGGAAAATGTTCAAAAAAATATCAATATTTTGCGAAATTTAATTTACATAATACTGCCTGGGTATGAATTTTTCAAATTTTTCCATGCAATTTAATTGAAAAATTAAAAAACTGAAAATATCCAAAAGTACAGCGTAGCCGAAGGGTAGAGCTACTTTACCATATTAAAAATTGCGGATCGTTATAGCAGAAAATAACAGAATAAAAGTCAGATTTAATTTGGCCCGAGCAAAATTTCGTTTAAGACAAATCAAATCGATTACTCTGTCCACATCGTAATTTTTAATTTTACATTCTCCCGATGTACGAATCCCCCGCAAAACCGCCAAAACAATTCCCCGAACTAAATAATCCCCGCACAATAGCCCCCGAAGTAACCCGACAATAGCGAGCATAAGTAGAAAACCCACCCCATTGTCCGCCAGCCCTTGAAAAATAAACAATTAAACAATGACTGAAGAGTAGGCGTGATGCATCTGAGGGCTTTATCTGTCGAATTATCATGATCCAAAAACATTCACGAGGGCGCCATTACAGTGCGAGAGTGTAAAAGTCCCCCTGTGATTGGTTGAGTCCAACAGTTGAGTAGTCAGAGTGGGAGTCAGATCGGGCACCGGTAGGCGTTGCCTCGGACGTTGTTCACAAGTCACGCTGAATAAACTCAGGGGAACCGGAGACAGTCGTCAGTGAAGCATCGTGACATCCTGTCATACCTCTCCATCGACTCCTCAATTCCTCGGCAAGGCAATCCGTCCGTATCGGCGCCTGAATCCGCCCCGTTAAAACCATTGATTGCGAACCAATTCTATTCTCCTAAAGTAGTGAAATAATTTCAATAACATTTAACGCAGTTCTAACGCTTTCGATTGTGAATGATGAAGTTCCCAGTGCATTAGCATTACTGCCGGACGCAATCGTCCGATCGTCAGTGATTGGAAGTGATCGTTGGTAATCGTAACTGATAGTCGTTAAACTGGAAATTGATGAGGCGACGTGTGAAGGCAGATGATTTGAGTGTTCTACAATCGTGATAAGAAGAGCAAACATTGGAAGTGTGACTGGAGGAGGCAAGAGACTATCGTGTTTTCAGTTAGATCGGTGTACAAATGACTGAGATAAGCATGGTATCGTACTACAATCATCTGTCGATGTACAGACAGCAGCAGCAGAATGCAAGCTCCCAGCAGTTGGCCCAGCAGAGCCAGCCGCATGTCCAGGCGCATCAGCATGCCCACCAGCAGCCAGGTGGCCAGCAGTACTGGCACCCGGGCTATGGGCATCATCATCAGGCGTCCGGGGCCCAACAGTACCTGGAGCACTCGGATGTCTTCGGCTGGCCACATCCCCATGCACATCCGTACTCACAGCTACAGCAGTATCATCAGCAGATGTATCAGGCACAGAACGAGCCGACCCCTGCACATCAGACGCCGATCAATGGGGTGGCCGATTGGAGTGGCGATGAGGGGAACAATAATGGGGTGGGAACTGGTGAGCCCAGTCCACCTATCACTGTCAGTGGCAGTGAGATCAGCAGCCCTGGCACCCCTTCGTCGCCAAATGGTAATAATAATAGTTCTAATGCCGCGAATAACAACAGTGCATCGAGTACACCGATGAGACCTGCACAGCTCAGGAGCCCTTATGAGTGGATAAAGAGGCCGTCCTACCAGCATTCACAAAATCCAGGTAAGTTTTTGGGCTGGAAGTTCGTGGATTCAGAGCATTTGGTTCTTTGAGCGAAAACGGAACCCCTTTGTCTGTATGAACTTTTAGAATTGTGTTTTCTCCTTCAATTATCAATTTTTATCTATGAAACTACTTTATCGACTTGATCATTGCATTTTGAGTCAATGAAGTAGTTTCATAAATATAAAATCATAATTGCAGGAGAAAACGCAATTCTAAAAATTCATATAGACACAGGGGTTCCGTTTCACGTTAAAGGGGAGACGGAACCGCTTTGTCTACATCAAATCTTAGAATTGGGTTTTCTCCTACAATTATTAGTTCTATCTACACGGAAAGAAATGTTCAGTAAAAATTACGGAACTCATAATTCGCTCACCGATTAACCGATTACGGAATCAACTCAAAAAATTTATGTGACGGTATCGTAATTCTTCACAGGAGATTCAGATCAAAATTACGGAACGCCCTGGAAAAATTCCGTGACAGTTCTGTAAAATTTCCTACAACTACATTTCGCTCTGGAATTATGGAAAAGATACGTAATTTTTATTGAATATTTCTCTCCGTGTATGAAATTATTTTATCGACTCGATTATCGCATTGTTGAGTCAATGAAGTAGTTTAATGAATAAAAAATAATTATTGCAGGAGAAAACACTATTCTAAAGATTCATATAAATGCAGGGGTTCCGTTTCCCCTTCAGGTACATGGAGAGAAAAATTCAATAAAAATTCATGAAGCTGGTGCTGGCAGAATATTCGTCAGCGGAAAAGTCAATTCTGGGGATATTTAAGTGTAGGAGAGTCATATAATCATATGTACAATTGTACACGTGTTTTTTAAGTGCGAAAGAGTTTGTACATTACTTGAAAACATTTGTACACTCCTAGAGTCGCCCAAGACAAATCTTCTGCAGTCGTATCTTTTGCTTGTTTCAGCTTCGTTAAAAATTACCAGAAAAAAAATAAAAATTACGGTTGGAAATGTAATGCACGAACGAAGTAAAATTCAATAAAAAGTGTGAGTCGGAACTGAAATTCTACGAATCGCCACGTAAATTCGGCGATTTGTTCCGTAAAATTAACCACCCGTCTGGTGACTCATCGCTGTGGGAACAACAAGTCGTTCCGTAATTTTTCCTCAACAATTGAGAAATTTTACGGAACGGAACATAGAAATAACTCACCGGCGTCATAAAAATTATTGGACGTTCAAGAATTTTTGATTTTGCAGGCATAATCAGCCGGGAAGTTTCTGTAAGATTTTAATTTTTCGGGAAAAATCACGCGACAATTTCGTAGTTTGTTGGGTGATGAACCTGAAAATTCACCGAACGTTTCAGAATTTTGATGTTCAGTAAAAATTACGAAACTCACTGATTACGGAATCGAATCAGAAATTTTAAGGGACGGAATCGAAATTTTTCACAGGACATTCAGGTAAAAATTACTGAACGCAAAATTCCGGGGAAAAATTCCGCGATTTTAGATGAAAATTACGTGACAGTAAAATTTTAAACAACCAATTGCGCTCCGAAATTACTGAAAAGATACGTAATTTTCATTGAATATTTCTCTCCGTGCGGTTCAATATCGAGATTCAAAGATAGACCTGTAAAATTTAAATAATAAAAGCACTGCAAAATGTCGGAAAACTCAGTGGCAAATGCAGCTCACATGAAATCTCTGTGTTCGAGCACAAAAGTAGAGAAGCATTTCGCTGAAGAACAATAGCCAAAGTATTATACTTGGATATCCTTAAATTGGTCAACTCCATTCTGTCCACTCGGCTTTCATGCGCTCGATCTAAATTTGTTCTTTGCATATTATTTTATGATCAAAAAATCGTCAGTAACTCATGATACGATCGTCCAACAAACGAAATATTTTCGTCATTTCAGGAGTACCAGTAGATTTTGATTGAATTCATGAACTCAATGAATCCCAGTTTCAAAACTTTTAACTTCTCCACTTGAATGCCGGCAATATCAGTGAAACCCTCTCTTCGGCCCTAATATTTTGATCGATCCGAATGGATTTCAGTTACATTACCACAGCCTGCTGTTTCCTTCGACAAAATGTAAACACCTTCCATTGATAAATTCCATTCTGTTTTGATGGACTCAATATTGGAATTAGCGAACGAAACTTTGTAGTTCTAGATAGAAACAGAATGCTCTAGTTATTTTTTCTGATAATGACGCTTGTGATGAAAAAAAAAATAGCCGGTTGAATTAATCTTTCTCACACTGTCTGACTGGATTTATTTCTCACTCGGTTCTTGTATCATTGGAGCGTGATACGTTGCTCCCCAACGCGGTCTAGATACGGCAAACAATGTAAACATCAGTTAATAGACTCACGCAAACATCTAATTGCTCTCAAATATTTGTAAGATAATCCCCTCTCCCGAGCCCTCTTGTCAACCTCGATTTTTACATCCGTTTGTCGTTCTTTTTTTTCTTTATTCAAAAATGGGAAAATCGTGAGTTATTGTGGAAGGCGAGGAGCATATTCGCGGTGAGACTGGTTCATGAATTATTTAAATGATGTTTTTTCACGTAATCCAAGATGTTGAAGACAAGAAACCAACGGTGAAGAGTGAGCATGATGTAAATACTGCTGTTGCAGCCTGCAGCGCGGCTGGAGGTTCAACTGGCTCTCTGTCGATATATCCAGATCTCTGCATCCTGGATGGTACGAATATAATATCCCAAGAGCAAATTGTACCATTGTCGTGTCCAGTAGATTTTTGTTTAATCAGTAGTCAAGGGGCGAGAGGAGATGAGTTCAAGATGAATTCAAAATTAGTCTTAATATTTTTAATAGAAAACTCCATAAATGTTGATTTTTTTACACAATTTACTCTATTCAGACATTTTCTTTGAACAGTTCTGGACGTAAATTTGATTTTATCATTTCCTTTTTATGATTTTAACATTTTTTATAAATGATTTTTTCTATCAAACATTCTCTATTGAATATTTCTATTGAATTATTGAACAGAATTCGAATAGAAGTCAATGGTTTTCTACTAAATTTTCTCGTACAAATGTAAGTTCAAAGGGAAATGTCAAAGGAATTGTTTTTGTCATTCAATTATATATAAAAACATTTTTGGCATTTCCTCTTAAGGTATATCCCAAGACAGTACCACCCAAAAGTCAGTCCCTGGGGATTTCCGGAAAAAATTCTAATTGACTTAGTTTATTGCATTCTCATAAGTTATTGAGTTTTTCTATCCTCATATGTTGTTGATGAAGGCAACAATACCTGTTTGAATCAAATAAGAAATGATTTTACATAATTGTCATATTTTAGAGTCAAATATCGCAGAAACTATGAAGTATAAAATTTTGCAACAATTCACTGTATATTTGGAATTTATCAATCTATCCTAGATTAATTTTTTAAGAACATCGTAAGAACCGTTTTCTCGAGTTCGGGGGGGGGGGGGGGGAAAANTCGCGTGCTGGAAGCCCGCATTTCATTATTTATTGTCTCCTTAACCGCGTAGTACAGCTAGTTAGAATTTTTTTCATTAGCTGGGGAATATTATAAACATTACTTGCAAAAGATATGGAGACAATCGTAAAAAACCCGTTTTCTAGGGATATACCTTAAACTATTATAATTCTCCTTTCGCATAGATATTTCTTCTCCTTTCGCATCAGAAATGTCTTCCCACCAAACGGAGAGAAAAATCGCATTGACATTTCACCAATTTTTACCAAAGCTCTAATGCAGAATGCACACTGAGAGAAAAATTTCCTAATGTGTAAACCATATTTAATACCTGAGAGAAGTAAGTTATGTGCTATTATGTTTACGGAACTCGAATAAATTCTCATTCATGAATATATTACGGTAGGATTACACATAACTTAAATTTCGAAGATGAAAATCTGAAATAAATTCTAAACGATAGTCGATATGAATGAAAACATTCTGGTCGAGTTGGTGCTGAATCGGCAGAATGATAATTGATAATAATTAATTCAGAAGTGGAAAACACAGAGTCTCACGAGAAAATGAATTTTTCGAGATTAGAAAAAAGATTAAAATGTCGAAAAAATCTGAAAAAATGAATAAAAATATTACGTAAACGAGAAACTATTATTCAAGAAAATAACGGTAGAGAGAATTTAACGGATTAATTGTTTACATCCGTCAAAGTTGAAATTCATCTAAGAAATTATCACCGATTAATTTTTTTTCGGGCATTGGAAATTTGTTTTTCCTCACCTACTTAAAGCGGTTGGTTACTTGTCCCAAGTAAATATCTTTTAAGATATTAGGAATTCCTTTCTCAGTGCAATAACTCCGCTGAAATTACGATCAATAAAATGCAGGGATGATGATCATCAGATTTTTCTCTCCCTGCAAGAATAATAAATCCCGAAGCAGCCCACGTAATAAATCCATTCGCATGCTCTTCATCGATAACAATTTATGTCCAAGTAAATATAATTTGCATGTTAGAGGGTAATGAAGTAAAATTCTGATAAAACTTGAAGGAACCGAAATTGACCATCGCGTGATGACAATCTCCCACCAGCCACGCCTTTCTCCTCAGTCAAAAGCTCGACTCGCCATTCCCATTTTTTTTCGTCCTCCACCTCGGACCAACCGTGGCCCGGTATCCAGGTGGTTGCGTGCCCGCAAGATCCCTCAAAACGCAATTCGCTTATTATTCACCCTCGGAGCATCAGAAGAAATCCAACCAACCAACGTTCATTTCCACGAGCATAAACTCGCGTGTCTCCACCACCTCGTAATGGCCGACGTGCATTACATATACATCGAGAGGGGGTTGTTTCTTCTCTCTTCAGCCTATTGCCTTTCCCCACCGATACCCACCGTCCATTATCTGCATTTTATGGTTATATTGCACCCAGTACTCTCGCATGGAGGCTCTCTTACAACGCTCGCATGACTGAGAATGTACGTATTCCAATTTCGTGCGTGTACTTGGACTTTTTTCCTTTTTCTGTTTTTTTACTTCTTTTTCAGTGGGAATTTGCTATGCTCGAGCAACTACACGCGATTTCTCTCCAATCGGCGGGATTTTTCTTCTCCTCCTGACGCCGTGTTACTTCCCGGATCTCAGGAGTTGTGGTAGAAATTTACATAATGAGAGAATGGAAGACGAAAATCAAGGTTTCGTAATTTTTTATTGGGGAACGCGGAAAATCGCTGCAGCGGGATGTTTACGTCATCGGTGGAACTGCAGGGAGAATAATTTATATGAAAGTATGGGTTGAAAATGGGGAGTTGTGCGCTGCATTGCGAGAAAAAAACACTTTTGAAAGAAGGTTTACTTGATACGCGGGAAAAAATACCTGAAATGAGTGTGAATTGTACTTGAATCAAGTATATTTTATACTCGAATCGAGAATAAAATATTCTGATTCAAGTATATTATTCTTGATTCAATTGGGGGATTGTAAACTTCTTTCCCTCAGTGTGAGCACAAAAGTATTTACCAGGAGATTTCACGATTCTAGAAATTGACGAGAGAATATTTTCTTGTATCAAGAAAATCATCTTTGCGACAAGTAATTTTTCTCAGTGTGCATTAATTTGTCAAGAATTTTGACAAAAACTTTGTAATGTTAACAAATTGTTCGATGCTGTGATTTTTGGGTCAATTTGAGGGGAAATCACTCATGAAATTTGCATTTGTTTTGAAAATTGAGGGAAATGTGACTGATTGCAAATTCTTGAGAAATCGCAATTTCTTGCTCTGAAAAATGCTCGAGCTATCACACTATCTGTGGGTGGATTGATTTCGAATTTTTCTCTTATTTGGTAGTTCGTAGATGCAGTACACGGTGAAAAAAAGTTTTCATTTCCCGGGATAAGTTAATATTGATTTTCAGGAAATCTTTGTTCGCGATTGTAAAATTCAATGGGTGCACAACTCTAAAATTCAGTGATTTTGTCATCAATTTTCATGGCACTGCGGTGACATTATCATTATGTCACTGCAGTGACATTATCACTGATTTTCATCTCATCAATAATTGGTGATAGATTCCTAAAAATCGGTGAAATGTTCCTGAAAATAAAAAATAAATAAAAATTCCTCGCCGTGAATTATATATTTTCCATACAAAATTCTACCCAATAGCACAAGAATTCTCCATTTTTTGACATGAAATGAGTCTCAGTATTCACTGAATGTTTCGCGTTCCTGCGAAGTCTTTAAATTTTGCATGGTGGATGGCCTGCTGACGTGTTTCATTCATAACCTTTGGTCAGGGGACAATCGGAATTTTCCGCACTCGAGTGTGGCTGCCTGCGTTTGGGTTCGAGGGGTGGATGGCTTGTTTTGCCAACAATGGAGGCCAATTAAACAACGAGCGGAACCCCGGGTGAAGCAACGCCCACAAGAGGCCCAGCTTGCGAACCTTTCTCAGTCCATTCAAATAGCTCCGAAGTTGTGACCTCTATTTTTCTCAGAAATTGTGAATGCACGACGTGACAAATTATTCTGAATGTTCGCATTATTCGGTCATCATCGCGTAATTCAGCGCTTCCTCTTAAAAATTTATTTGTCAAAAATCTGTCAATTTTCTTCCATCAAAGGGGTTTGAGTAACTGAATAGTCCATCCGAGTTCAGAGAGTTAATTTTTTATTTCAAAAAGATTCTCTTTAAGGTGTTTCATGTGAAAAGTCAAAATAATGAAAAAAAAATTGAAAATTCAAAGAAGAAGTATCTAAATATGCTGCATCACAGGGAATTTTTCCAAAATTTTTCCAGATCTTGCGTTCGAGAAAAAAAAAATATATAAGGCCGAGATTATCGCACTCTAAAAATAATTAAAAATGCGTGAAAACCTAATCTGCAAGAAAGTAAATCCTGATTTCACTTTCATGTGACTTTTAGCTCCGTTCTAAATCTTTTAACCAAAATATACTGAAAAATAAAGCCCCAAATCGTCGATTCCTGCGGTATTCCGTTCACTCCACCATAAGATGTGGCAATGTCGCTCTTGATCTCATTGGCGCGAAATTTAAACGTCGGTACGGATCTGCTACTCATTCGGTGTAAATTTCACGGGGAATATTAATTGTATAAAAAAATAACGAATTGTAGTCTACGATTTTTTAATACTTTCATTATTTTCAACTTGGTTTGCAAAATCATCTATTTTCTCATTGTCTCTAAGTCTACAACTCGTCGCCGTTCAATGCAAGATGTTTTTACTCTTCCGTCTCCGATTGTTGCAATAATAATGATACACTGCGTCCGTTACTAATTTACCGTTCCAACCTTTAGTATTTTTGATTTGAGGCAAACGATCCGTTTTTTATTTGTTTTGTCACTGTCAGTGGATTTAACGTGGGGCCACATGGGATCACATAGGGTAGGGTAAACCGCCTAGTAGATGGACGCCTAAAAAAACCGCCCAGTAGATGGACGTGTGTTTTTTAGCAATTGAAAAAAAATTGATCGAAAAAAAATCGTCACTCAGGGGTTAAGAATCACAACAGTTAGTGAAAATTCAAAGCAACAATTCACATTTCAGTATTTTTTTGCGTAATTTCCTATCCAAAAGTGGCTCGTCCATCTATAGGGCAGTGTCCATCTACTGGGTAGCTTACCCTATACACCACACATTTGAACCGAGTAGAATACTCTGCAGGACTCGGGTAACCAGACCAATAGATAGACGGTTGCGGACAATTT